GTGGTTTCTCCAAAATCTAGAATACCGAAAAGATGGAACAGCTGCGCATAAATTCTTATTCTGACTAAATAATGAAAAATGTACATTCAATAATAAATATTCAATATGAAACATGGAAATAAGCTTCTTACCACTAACAAAAAAATAGAAGATCATTTCAATAAACACTACGAAGATTAGCTATTTCACAATCAACAATAATAATATAACTCCTACTATTCAAATCCATCAAACATAATTAAATAAGGAAGAAATGGCCCTATTTAACAGAGAATTTCGTTTGGGAGAAAAATGAATAAAACTTGGGAAGAGTGCTAGACCAAATAATGTACTGGATTCCTCACCAATCTTGGCAGCTCTGCAAAACAGGTTGTGCTTCGATTACTAAACGAGGTACGGAAATCTTATATGCCTTATGAATGGAGAAAAGCCTAGGTCAGACCCATCATTAAGAAAGGAAATCCTACTGATTGTGTGGAAAATTACAGACCTATTGCATTAACTAGTGTCTTTTGCAAGTTGCTTGAAAATATGGCACTGAAGAGATTACAAACTCACTTGGAAAAGCATTGGCTCATCTCACACAAACAAGCAGGATTTAGACAATATCGAGGCATCATAGACATGTAACACAGCTCTCACAGGACATTAAAGATAGATATCATCGCAAATAAAGTTCACTCGCAGTATTTGTAGACTTCCAAACTGCATTTGATAGGGTTTGGAGGAAGAAACTTCTCGAAAAGCTGTTAAAAAAAGGTGTACAAGACAATTTTTTAAAATATATTGCATCTTTCTTAGGCCAAAGATATACTCGTGTCAGCTATATAAGGAACATCCAAATACAGACAAACTAAACAGGGCCTCCCGCAAGGCTCTGTCCTTAGCCTAACTCTGTTCTGCATAATGATAGATGACCTCATACAGACTCTTGAGTCTATACCAGGAATGAAAGTAGTTATGGGAGAGATGGAAGAGCTGGTGTTTATGCAGAATGTTTCCAAATGTCAGAGTCAGTGGGAAAGCTAGAAAATAACTTTGATAGCGAAGTTAATGCAGTTTTTTTAGAGTTAGAACAGATAAAAAAGTTTAAACCACAAAAAGTTGTGGTTCTAATTGACTCACAAGCTGTAATAATTGCCATTTCAGATCCTTCCTGCTGTTCCACAAATCAAATTAGTATGTGGCAGGAATTTATTGAGGAGCTGATTTTAGAAGATGTCATTCTTCTACAGATGTCGTTTTAAAGTGGATACCAGGACACTGTGGGTTGACAGGTAATGAAAATGCTGAACGATTAGCGAAATAAGGTGCCAAAAAAGATCAGCCAGATATGCCAATCTCTTTCTTGACGGCAAAGAAGCTAATCAAAACAATAATCAGTGGAGAATCAGAACAGAAACTTAGAGTTGAAGGAGAAGCAATGGGCTTCATTACTAGAAGAAAATGGAAGAGTGCCAGTGGATCTCCCTAGAAGTTGCACAGTTTAGGATGAAAACCGGACATGACTATCTCCAAAGCCATCTATACAGTATTGGAGTTGTCGAATCAGCAACATGTTCAAGACAAGGATCCATGACAACTCTGCATCTACTGACTTGTCCCGGACTACAGGACATTAGAATCAAAGCCAGGACTGAAGGTGAAATTTACTGGGCTGCTGGACGTTGCATAGCCGAAAGAGCTCAAGATGATCAAGGCATAGGATTAAAAAAACAAAGATTTAGAACAGTTACAAAGAACATGTTCCCAAATTATAAAGCCATGAGTCTTTAACATACAGGTAAATACTTAACCTGCCAATGTTTCACCAATTCAGGCATCATCAGGAAAATCCATATTATAAAGCCTTGAGTCTTTAACACATAGGTTAATTATTCACCTGTATTTTATATTACAGGATAACTATTCACCAGCATGTTAGAGACTAATGGCTTTAAAATTTGGACTGCCCTGATGATGAATGAATTGGCGAAATATTGGCAGGTTAAGTATTGAAATGGTGAGCAGGAAATGAGAGAATGCTGATCAGCAAGACACTAAGTGAAGTGAAGGATTTAGAGGAGACAGAGATTCTCTTGGAAATGGATGGGATCCAAAACTAAATTATCAAAAATGCTAAGGAAGATGTTTATAATATCATTTTTGATCTAAGGAGGCATGAGAAAAAACTAAAAGAACGGCATAAGTTGCTGATATGTCCAATAAATAAAAAAGGCAATATAAATTAGTGCAATAATCATTTACAGGGGAATTTCATTGATAAATACATTGTATAAGACTATGTCAATTGTAAAAAGCAGAAGAATGTCAAAATGAATGGAAATTGTTCTGGGTGACCACCAGTGTGGTTTTTCGATTGGGAAGGTAACAATGAACCAAATTGTTTAAAAACAAATACTCGAGAAAGCATATCAGTAAAATGTTACATTATAATCTTGTCGAAGTTGGGGTATACCATTTAATATTTTAATTTTGATATAGTCCCTCTGATCTTTGTTAAGTAGGAATAACATTTAGAGGAGTGATATCTGGATTTTCATCAAATCCTTAGGGATAGCAAACAGAATGCTATTTAATGCAATTGTTGTTTCTATGATTGCTCTATGAATTGAAAAGCCTGTAATGAGATTAACATCATCAGGCCCTTCTTTAGTCCCCTACTTTACATATTTACAATGCTCTAAGAGTTTTTGTTTAATAATGTATGCAAAAAAAATTAATTAAAATTAAAAAAAAAACCTGGGTTATGGAGAAATCCCAAATATATAATTGAAAACATGAAAATAAACTGCACCAAATACACATGTTGGCAGTCATGGGACAAAACACATATTGACCAGCCTAACCAACTTGTTTAGTCAATTTGGAAAATTATTATATAAAGTTTTTGAAGGGAGCCGCAGTGGTCGAGAGAGTTAAGGCATAGAGGCTTTTTGTTTAGATTTTTATGGAAACCGAATAGTCATAAGTTCAAATCCCATTTGGGGCCACAAAAAAAAAGATAATTATTAAGAATTGCAAGCGCTACTCGATTACTTCGACCACTATGATTCGATTTACACGTCCTCACTCAGAGCTTCACAGGGAGGTGAGCAACCCCTGCGTCTTACAGGTCCTCCAGGTTGGGGGTTGGGCATAGGGCTAATAACCCTATAACAGAAAAAAGAACTTATTACGAAACCTAAACTAAGCATCGGAAAATCAGACTGCCTAAAATACAGTAACAACCTTGGCTTTGAATCATGGACTAATATATAAAGCGATATAATATAAAGCGATTGGATATAAAGCGAGAAATACGCAAATGGGAGGAAAAGACGGAATCCTGACGGCATCTAAAGAAAGTATATTGAACATCTGGAAAGAACATTTCCAGGAATTTTTCAATCCAGGGGACACCACGAACAAAGAAGACATTGACCACCACACTGAGGACCTTGGTCCAAAAAAGGTTGAAAAACCAGATATACAAGATTTAGTTATAGCTATCAAAAGGCTCAAAACAAGAAAGGCCACATGGATAGACAACCTACCATCAGAACTGTTTAAAGATGTATGAGACGACTTAAGAGCCAAGCTAATACAACTAATACATAAAATATGAGAAGAAGAAAGGATACCTGAGGCTTGGATTACGGGTCTAATCTGTCCTCTCCTAAAGAAAGGCTCCATTTATGAGTGTAGTAATTACAGAGGCATAGCACTCCTTCTGGTGGCATATATCCATATTACGAGAATATAATAGGCGACCACCAAGCTGGATTCAGAAAAGGGAGGAGCACGCAAGACCAGATCTTCATCCTAAAACAAGCATTCAGAATATTATAGGAAGTAGCTCAGGACGACCATATTTGTCAATTTCAAAGCAGCCTATGATTCTATGGACAAGTTTCTTTGGAAAATAATGACTGAACTGGGAATTTCCGGTAAGTTGGTGAGATTGACAAAGGCATTTAAAAATGACCCCAACTGAGTCCTAATACAAGGAGAAGTATCTGAAGCCTTCAAAGTCCGAACGGGCTTACAGCAGGGAGATGGACTATCACCGATGTTGTTCCACTTAGCCCTGGAGCAGGTAATAAGAGCAACATCACAGGGAAATAGAGGGGTCCACGTCGGAATGAATCATAAAATCCTTGCATACACAGATGATATAGCTGTCCTTAGAAGTAATCAAGAAGACATTGAGAAACTCACTACAATACTGATAAGAGAGGCAGAGCAGATTGGCCTACAAGTAAGTGAAAAAAAAAATATATATATATGATAATAAGCCTAAATTTCCAACCCAATCCAACAGAATCTGCGTAGAAGGAAAATCATTCCCGAGAGTAGAAAAATTCAAATACCTAGGCTCCACAATAACCTACATAACAATGAATGCCTTAATAGAAGGCAAAAGACCAAGTGGAAGGCCAAAAAGCAGATGAGTAGATAGAATCAACAAAGATGTAACAGAGCTGCGTGTAGATAAATGGAAAGAAATATCCCAAGACAGGTAGAGATGGAGCAGGCTTGTTAAAGCTGCAAAAGATTTGCATGGTCTGTAATGACAACAGAAAAAAAAAAAGTTTTTGTAGGTAGAATAATTGTAATAGATAATATACATATATAACAATAGCACTGGTTTATGCAATAAAGATGAAGAAAGAAATTTGGTTTACAGATTAAAAGCTCTATATGGTTAAATAAGGGCCTAAAAAGAGAAAATATAAAAATTACATTATAAAAATACAGAATTTATAATATTTCTAAATAAGTAAGTTACTTAATTATTAAGTTAGATGTATTTAAAGACATGTATATATAATGTAAATATCTATAATGAAGGTTTTTGAATAGAAAAGGTATCCAATAAGACTTATCAGTACTCTGTATTGATCTCAATAACTCAAAAAATAACTTTTTAAAACCAACTTTGAAAAATAGGATAAGAAGAGTAAGATAAATACTAAAATTCAACTCTAATTTTTTTACTTAAAATTGAACTAACTTACAAATTATAATCTGAATCAGGACTTTGTTGGTATAAATCAAGTTCTTCAATTGTAATCTGAGTTTCTTCAGCATTTCTTTCAATCTGTTTCAAAAGGGTCTCTTTTTGCAATTGAAGGAAGGGTAAACAAAAAAACTTATGCAAATATTTCAGACCAAATCCATTTGACATAGAAGCTTCAGTATACCTGTACTGAGCACATCTATTTTCCCTGTAAAAAAAAATAAAAATGTATCTTAAATATTTTAGTTTTATGAATAGTTGTAACAATTCTAATAAAATTTGACTTGATTTACAATATTTGACTGTTCATTAAACTGTGAAACTGACAGCTTAAATTTTGATGGGATATATATTATGTGGCTTTAACAGAGAATTTAATTTATTTCATTCCGAGATACAAATTAAGTCTAGTCAAATAGTAGTTAAAGTGGAAAAAATTCAAGTATTTGTTTTCTCGGCAGTTCCGTATGCTTTTGGGAGTGCTGAATATGAATTTGAAGTTTGCAAACAAAATTACTTTGCGTTACCTGAAATATATGCAAATACAGCAAATTTTTCTTAGTTTTTTACATGAAGTTCTGAAAAAAAAAACATTATATTGTGAACACTAATTTATAAACAATTAAAATATCCAATACATTTTATCTGTAGTTTTTTAATAAAAGACCAAAGGATGAGGAGCTAGAGCAAGTTCTATTTATTTGTCATGGGTGATAAATAGTCAGGATGCAGTCATTGAGAATGTTTTTTATTCATGCCAACATTTCATCATACATTAATTAATACATGGATACATGAATCATCCATCACTATTTTTTCAATCATTAATCATTATCTGTCTTATAATATTATATCCCTGATAATATTAAACAATTTTCAGCCCTGATGATGACCCACATGCTTGGGTTGAAACGTTGGCACCAATAAAAAACATTCATAATTACTGCATCCTGACTATTTTTCATATACCCATGATATGTAGAATAGTCGACTAACTTCCTTCAATAATTCATTTATTTATAAATATATATATATATATATATATATATAAACAAATGAATTATTGAAGGAAGTATATATATATATATATATATACATAGGCCGTTTCAGAAATGAACGGATACGGGAGGAGCTGGAGGTGGTAGAGCTTAACACTAAGCTTGAAAATCTACAACTGAAGTGGTTTGGTCACGTTTGTCGGATGGATGATGAAAGAAAACCTCGGAAAGTGATGAAAGCTCGAACCACTGGGAGGAGACCGCGAGGACTTCCCAGAATTTCCTACCAGGAGTACATGCAGCGGATTGGAGGGAAGAGAGGGAAAACTCTCCAAGAGATGAGGCAGCTTGGGTGGGACCAAGAGGCATGGCTGCATTGGATCAAGGTTCCTCGACGCTAGGAATGGCATCAAAGGTAGACAAAGAAGATATATATCTTTTTTTTTTGTATCTCCTTTAAAGCTATAAAAAAAAATCTCCAGAAATCGCAAGCTAAGAGTGTACAACAGCTGATAAAGCCAGTTCTGCTGTATGGATGTGAAACCTGGGCTCTAACCGGCACCCTAGAGAGATTCGAAAGAAGAGTCCTCCGTATGATAACAGGACCTATATGGTGTCAGAACCTCAACACATTGAGGAGGAGGAACAATAAAGAACTGCTAAAAGAAACTGGCCAATCAATATCTCATAAGAAGGCAAGGAGGTTAAGATGGGGAGGCATATAGCTCGAAGCAATCCGTTAGGATGCCTTTACACAACAATGAATGCCAGAGTAGTAGGCAAGAGACCACATGGGAGGCCTAAAGATATGGCTGAGCTTCATGCCTCAAACTGGAAAGCAATAGCCCAAGATAGGCAGAGGTGGAGAGGGCTGGTTCAGATGGCCAAAGATCTAAAAGGTCTGTAGAGCCAACCGAAAAAAAAAAAAAAAAAGAAATATATATGTCTACATCACAAAAAATTGCATTCTTTGTCAAATTTTTCCTAACTCATAATCTGCTCATTTCCTGATATATATATATATATATATATATATATATATATATATATATATATATATAATATATATATATATATATATATATATATATATATATTATGTTCAAATTCAAAGAGCATTAAATTTCCTAGAGAGCGTATATTAAGGCCTTAATATGTGAGAACATGAGAGGCTGCTAGAGAGGCATATTTCAATCCTTAAATTTTAAAATAATATAATAATTTTTATGCCAATCATTCCCTTTGTAAAATATAAGAATAAATCCTATAATTTGTATCTATGTCCTAATGTAGTAAATAAGACAAATCGAAGGAGTGGAAATCATAAATTGAGTTTAACTTGAGTATGATAGCTAGGATCGATTAAAATATGACTTCAAGTTCAAGTGTGTTAACAGCTGCTCCCCTCATATTAAGGACTCTACATGAGCTCTAAATAAAATTAATGTTCTCTCAATATGAACATAACTTTTTTTGTCAAGAAATGAGTAGATTGTGAATGAATGAAAATAATTTTATTATTCTGGGACTAGTGTCCCTTTAGAACAAGTTACAAATACAGAATATATATTAATATTTTGGAGTGTCCATAAAATATAGTTTAATATTTACAGGTTGATTAGGAATACAATAAAGTTATAAATAATAAAAAGATATAAATACGTGTAAATATAAAATATACAGAAAAAGTAATTATGTAAACAAAATATCGATGAATCACAAAGTAATCAGAGTATCTGGGCGTACTTTGAGGTTTTTACAGCTTAGGTTGTTAAGTGCATTTCGTGATCAATCGGATTGGAATGGAGTAGGTGTTTGAAGAGGAGAGATTTGAAAGAGGATATTGATTTTGCGAGTTGAATATCTGAAGGTATAGAGTTCCAGAGGGAGACAACTTGAATTAAAAAGGATTTATCAAACGCAGCAGTTCGGTGAGGAGGAGGATAGTGGTCGGACGCACGGGATCTGGTGGGATGGAATTGAAAGGAGCGTTTGAATTGTAGGATCTGTAGAATATAGGCAGGTCGCTGTGTTCTAATGGCTTGGTATAGGAAGGCAGCAAGGAAATATTGACGGCGGTAGGACGGATAAAGCCACTTCAACTTGGTGTAGAACTGGGTAATATGAATTGTGAGGTACAAATGGAGAAAGTATGCTATTTTTTGCAGTGTACATGTATATATAACTTGCTCTAGCTCCTCATATTTTAGCTTTACATTAAAAAATAACAATTGTGTCTACTTTGACTTTGTATAAAAGTGTTTATGATAAAATGCATTATTTCAGAGTTAAATATGTCTCAGAAAACTCAAAGTTATTTTGTATGCAAAATTCAAATTCAAATCCAGCACTAAAAAAAACAACAACAGTTACTTTCAAAATAATAATGATAATAAGGCTTAGAGAACCCGAAAGTATGATGCTGTTACCACCAATCGATGTCTACATTCTTCCATCCTCCGGGAACCGTCTAAACCCAACCCTGCCAGAACAGCCTTAACTCAATCTTTCCACCTTCATTTTCTTCTAACCCTCTGATGCTACAGTCGGCACAGCGTATATTAACTTTTTAGGTATTCTTTACTTTAAAAATACAAATATATATATATATTTATATACTGCACAAAAATGAATAGGGGTATTGTTAGTTATATATGAGTTATTTTCTCTAGAATTTTTATTTTATTTCTATCATAAAATACATTGAAAATTAATATAAATTAGATTATATTTGCCCTGGGAAAATTTTATAAAAGGTGTTTAAAAAAATAAATTAAATTAAAGGTTTATGTGATTGCGAAATATTTTAATATTGTAAATATTCTCTTAATTAAATTGTGTAACTAATTTAATAGCTTATGTAATATCTTTTGTTGTACACTACCTTTCTGCACTTATTGAGCATACTTTTTATAATGTTGTCACTAATTTAACAAGGAATTTTATACCATAAACATACTGCTCTCAGTGGCTGAAGGTTAAGAAACTCCAATGGTGGTCAAAAAGTCTTCTCTGCAGTGCATCCCACGTGTGCTTAATGGGATTGAGATATGGAGACAATATGGAAAGGGACAGATGTGAAATGTTCAGATTTTCAAGACATTGATGAACAACTTTTCCCCTCGCGTATTGTCGACAAAAAAATGGAAATCGGTGCCAATTATGGCCCTAGTTTGAGGAATGTACTCCTCAAAAATTTCTTGAACATAATGAGCTGCAATGAGATTACCTTCCACAATATGGTGTAGAGTCTGTCTTCCCAAGTAGATTGCACTTGTAGACTGCATTAAAAGAAGTAAAAACTGTGGCAGTGTACCCATCCCCTATTCTTGATAGATTCTTTGGTGCCTATGATCGCTATAAATATAGAACTGTGACTCGTCTGTAAACATAACAACATTCCAATTTGTATCCACTAGGTGCTTGCTGCACCATGATCTGCAGAGTTGCTAGCGACGCACTGTTGGAACTGATCCCAAAGACTCAGTTAAGGCTGGGTCTGAGGGTGAAAGAAAGCCTGCCACAGTCTCCATCCGGGAATCCGTCCAATATGTCCACCGATTAACTTACTTAGATAAGGCTGCTACAAATCAATTTACACCACTGCATTGCTGCAAGTGGAGTACTTGTACAATATATCAAAGGTGAGGAAATTGATATTATATTAATCCACGAACCTTACTTAAGTAATAACAGGATCAGGGGGCTAGGAATCAATGGCTATGGAACTATTTATGTTGCCACTAACCCCAGGGCCTGTATTCTATATTAAAAAAATCACTAAAATTACTGCCTCTTTGGCAACTTTGTTCTAGAGATTGGGCAGCAGCCAAATTTACTTCACCAAGAGACAAGAAGACACTAACCATAGTGGCGGGTTACCTGCCATATGAGTCAGGAGATCCTTCACAAGACATGGAAAATATTTTAAATTCCAATAATGAAGACACCCTGATGGGACATGACGCTTATGCCCATAACATCATATGAGGCAGAAACAATAACAACCCCAGAGGTGAGATATTGCTAGATCTTATTATTAGTAATAACTTACACATATTCAATAGGGGCAAAAAACCTACCTTCTTTAAACAAACTAAGATCAGAGGTCATAGACATAATGTTGGCCTCTAGTCAGACCACGTCAAAAGTACATAACTGGCATGTATCGAATGAGGAAACATGTTCCGACCATAAATATATCTGATTCGGCTGGTCTGACAACACTAAAACTATAGAGAAATATAGAAACCCAAAGTCTAAGGACTGGAAAGAGTACTTCTCATACCTAGAGGAGGCATCCAAATGCTCTCCAAAAAAAATAGATAACACTTGGCAGCTAGAATGCCTAAACTCATCTTTAACAGATGCAATTAGAAATTCTTGTCTGAGCAGTAATGATATCCAAACCAAGATATTCAAAAGAAGAGTATCCTGGTGGAACAAGGATTTAGAGAGGCAAAGAACACCCACAAGAAGGCTGTTCAATGCTGCAAAAAGATATGGCAACTGGGAGGTTTACAGGACTGCCCATATAGAATAACACAAATCTGTGAGGAAAGCCAAAAGACGGTCTTGGAGGAACTTCTGCTGAGAAATTGATAATACTCCTATGGCAAGTAGGAAAAAAAAAAAAAAGAAACTTACTAAACAGAAATACCAAGGAATACTGGATACACTCAGGGTCAATGGCAAACGTACTAGCAATGAACTGGAAACCCTGAGAGAACAGGCAATAGCACACTTTCCTGGATGTGAGACTATGGAAAAGGCTTGTACAGACACTACAATCCCAAGCTATACAGCTAATCGAGAGGGGTGGACAAAGGCTAAAAAAATTGTTACAGCAAACAGACTGGAATGGGCAGTTAACACACTGTCTCCCTATAAATCGACAGGATTGGATGACATCCTACCAATACTGATTCAATAAGGACTTTCAATAATTAAATCCTATTTCTTAGAGCTATCAAGGGGCAGTATAGCGTTTGGATACCTTTCTACAGAATGGAGAGTATCCAAACTGTGCTATATTCCAAAACCTGGAAAAAGAACATATGATGATCCTAGGTCATTCAGGCCAATATGCATATTTTCTAATGAAGATATTAGAGAAGATTCTGGATAGGCATATAAGAGAACAATTAGTGAACGCTAATTCGTTACATTCCAATCAATTCGTGTACCAACCTGGTAAATCATGCAAAGCTGCAATACATAATCTGGTTTCAGAGATTGAAAAATCCATGAATCAGAAGGAAATAATGATTGGTACCTTCGTAGATATAGAATCAAAGGCATTTGATAGGACTCCTTACAAAACTATCATAGATACTTTAGGGACAAGAAAAATAGATACACTTGTCACCAAATGGATTGGCAACATGTTGGATACACGAATTCTTAAAACTGAACTAGGAAACGCTGTAATGTGGATCAAACCTGGAGGAGGTTATCCACAGGGAGGTGTGCTCTCACCATTACTGTGGTGCTTGGTGGTGGACTCCTTGAACTTAAAACTAAACACTGCAGGCATTTATGCACAAGGATATGCGGATGAAATCGCTTTTCATATTTGTGGAAAATATCAGAATGTTCTATCTGATCTGTTCAGAAATGTGACAGGAGTCTTGGAGGGATGGTGCCGGTCTAGAGGACTAAATGTCAACGTGGCCAAGATGAATGTTTGCATCTTTACAAAGAAAAAAAAGGTAGAAGTAAGACTACCTAAAATAAATAACACCCAGCTAACCGAAAATAAGGAGGTAAAACACCTAGGTGTTATGCTGGACAATGGAATGATGTGGAATACACAACTAATAAAGCTCTAAAATACCTCTGGGCATGTAAGATTGCTGTGGGGAAGGCATGAGGACTTAAACCTCTGATGGTCTACTGGCTGTATGTTATAGCAGTCAAACCTGTGCTTTTATGTTCAACTGTTGTATGGTGGCATAGGGCAAGAGTGGGCCACAACAGGACAAATTGGAAAAATAGCCTGTTTAATGATAAGGTGCACAATGAAAACTACTCCGACTGCAGCTATGGAAGTAATGTTAGGTCTATTACCACTGCAACTGGAGATTGAAAAGCAGGCCTTGAAAACTTTTTACAGGCTAAAAAAATTAAACACATGTTCAAAGATAAACACCATGGAGGGACATTGGGAAATAGTTAAAAAAATTGAGGAGGACAGGTTGCTCACAATGCATTCTGACACTGTAACTTGAGAATTTCTCAAAAAAGATGTATAATATAAAAACAGATAGTTCAGGAAAACCCATTAATGGGATTCATACTGATGGGTCACTTATGACATGCGGATCTGGTGATGGTTTCTGGAGAAGGGATAAACCAGAGGTAGGCATGTCAATACCACTTGGAAATTATGCAACAGTGTTCCAGCCTGAAATACTGGTGATGACTCACTGTGCCTCAAAAATGTTGCTTGATGGGTTAGTTGGGAGGAGAATTTCAATATATACTGACAGCCAAGTGGCCATAGGAGCACTGGACAATTATACAACTAGATCTAAGGCTGTTGAGGATCGCGTCAGAATTCTCAATGATTTATCCAGACTTAATAAGGTATACATTGAATGGGTTCCGGGCCACTCTGGAATACACGGTAATGAGATGGCGGATGAACTAGCTAGACTAGGCTCACAAATGATACCTATAGCTCTTGAACCCATCTGTGGAATTAGTCAGTGTCTAATAACAAACAGAATTGAAGAGATCTATGGTGCTGAAGCTAAAAAGAACTGGTGCTTGAAAAAACAGACTCACTCTAAACTGTTTCTGGAAGGTATCTGTCAAAAAAGAAGTAATCTACTAATTAATCTGAGCAGGAGCTCACTTAAGAAAGTTACAGTGACATATACTGGGCACTGTAAACTGAATTATCACATGTTCAATCTCCGGCTCACAGAGTCGTCTCTTTGTAGGTACTGTGGCCAGGAGGATGAGACAGTTTATCACACTACTTGTTGGTGCAACAGGTCTGCTGGACTAAGATTCCAATTATTTGGCATTGATAGGGTGACTGATCCCAAGACAAATGAGTTCATAAATCCAACAAGCTTATCACAGTTCATTGAGACTGCAGGAATTATGCTCTAAACAGGAGTGACTTTAATAAAGGCGTACAATAGGCCTATATGGCCACAGTGCACTCGTGCCACTTTTTAAAAAAAAACTAATAGAAAAATATTATTAAAAATTACATACTTTTCCAGAGATTCGATAAAAAAGTAGACTGTCTCAACATTAATAGTTCTATGGTGGGACATATCACAGTGGTTTCCTAAAATAAGTACTGGGATATTATCAGGGATTTTTCTTATCTCCTTTTCAACATAATCAAATGTCCTGAAACATATTTTAGAACAAGATATAAAAAAAAAAAATATATATATATAAATTGATGATTTAATAAAAGGATACATCTTAAAATAAACTAATAAATAATGTGTTAGCAATATGATAAAAAAAAAATATAAAAAAGGAAAAGATTTACAAGTAACTAATTTTTGATCCAATTTGCAACTTAAATTCTCACGGAATTTAGTACCCATTTATACATAACCATAGTATTTAGCACTCAAAGCAATAAGGATCAACATGAGAATAATCCCCATTACCAAGTTCCGATGGCATCTCGTTACCTGAACTGTTAGAAGAAGAAAATAAATTTTATTCTAGGACTAAGTCCCCTTAGAATAACTACAATGTACAATTTAAAGACAATTGTCTGGCATTTGAAATAAATTAGATTAGAAGATTGTCTAGATCTCAGGTTACAATAAAGAAAAGGCAGTGTTAGATATATGAAATCATAGATAAATTCAGATATGCGAGTTCACATAAACAATGTGGGTGATATATATAAGAGATATATAATTATCTGTCAGATAACATTAAAGCAATTAACAGATCTGAAAAACGTGAATATTATTTTATACATATTCGGAAGATTGATTACTGAGGAGATGGATACATAAATTATGTTTAAATGAGGTCAAGGATGATGATTTGCATATGGAGGTTGGTAGGAAATTCCAAAACAAGGTAGCACGTATGACAAAGTATTTTTTAAAGGAAACAGTTCTATGAGAAGGAATAAACAGGTTTGAGGGCTGGGATCTCGTGTTGAACGAATGGACAGAGGAACAAGGAGTAAACAAATAGAGAATGTAAGAGAGCTTTTGGTTGAAAAGGTTCGAAAAAGGAATACACATAGGAAGTATTGCTGCCAGAAGACTGGAAAGAGCCACTTCAACTCGGTAACCAACTGGAGACGTGGGAGCGCCTGGGGACTCCATAAATGAATCTAATGAAACAATTCATTAGTCTGTTTAATCTGATCTCAAGTCTACCAGACAGTCCACCATATACAAGGCAGCCATAATTGAAATGAAGGAAAATTAGAGAGAAAACTAGGAGCTGACGTATTTTAAGGGGCATGCAATCACGGAATCTTATGAACTGTTTGAGAGTAGCAATGGATTTTCGGATTATTTGTGGATTAATATGATTATTCCAGGACAGATTCTGATCAAACATTACCCCAAGGTTTCTAACGGAAGTGTGGAAACTGATAGGTAGTCCATTGAGATAGAGTAGGAGATAATAAGGTGTGGAATTAATTAGATGCTTGGAACCAATGAGAATGGCTTTGGTCTTCTCAACATTCAACTTAAAATTGTTGCTCACTGCCCAAGTATTGATACCATCAATGTCTTCTTGAAGCCTTTGGATTGCCTCTAGCATCTTGGTAGGATGAAAGGAAAGGTAGATTAGGAGATCGTCAGCATATAAGTGATATTGTGAATGATGGATGGAATCAGGAAGGTCGTTGATGTAGATGGAGAAAAGAGTTGGGGAGAGCGAAGATCCTTGAGGAACACCGCGAGTTAGTGAGAGGGGACAGGAAGGAGTTTCATTAGGTATGGTGACTGTTTGGGATCTTTGATACAAGAAGGAATAGAACCACATTAGAGCACTATTTGATATGGAAAAGTTTTTGAGTTTGGAAAGGAGAATTTCATGATCGACTGAATCGAATGCTTTTGAGAAATCAAGGAGGACCAGGATAGTGATTTTCTGTTTGTCTATGGAGAAATGAAGGTCTTGTGTAGTTTTCAACAAAGCAGACTGGGTGGAGAATTGGGATCGGAAACCAGACTGGAGGGGATTGAGGAGAGGTTTTTGTTCTAGGAAGGTGTTAAGCTGTGCATGGGCAATTCTTTCAAGAGGTTTTGAAAGGCTGGAGAGAATAGAGATGGGTCTCGAATCGGAAAATTTGGAGGGAAGTGGAACTTTGTTCAACGGGCAGAAAATAACTTTTTTCCAGAAACTGAAATTTTGTAAGGAAAAATTGTAGATATGCAATAGGATAGGAAAGTTGACAGGAAGACATAGTTTGATTAACTTTACAAGAATTTGATCCGGGCCATAATCATTTGTTCTGGATTTTAGGACAGAGGAAAGTAGGTCTTCTGGTGAAAGAATTGCAAAATAGAAATTTTCAGGGCCAAAGGCAATTTTCGAAATGCAGCATGAGGAGGGAAGTGGTAGTGAGTCAGGGTTGGCAAAGTGGAAATTCAGTTGATCAGAACAAACAGGGTGGGATGTACAGGTTTTTGACTTTACTACAGAGAGATTTTTAAGGATTTTCCATTTGGACTTAGGATCTGCAGCTTGAGATAAGGAAGTATGAAAAATTGTGCCTTAGCACGTCACAAGGAAGATTGGGTAAGGTTTCGAAGAGTCTTGAAAGAGAAGTAGTCACCCGGATCCCGTGTGCGTCTAAAACGCCTCCTTGCAGCATCTCTTTTCATTAATTCTCTTATTTCTGGATTAATCCAGGGAGCAGGAGGGCGTTTGAAGGTTAAGGTCTTTAAGGGTGCGTTTTGATTTAGGAATAGAAGAAGATTAGAGGAAATACACTCCACCATTTCATCAAGGGAGGAATAGGAATAGATGGGATCTAAGGATTGAACTAGTGTTTCGAGGAAAGGATTTAGTTTTTTCAGAGGTCAAGAAGCCAAGATCTCGCCATGTAATTTGCCTGGGAATGAACTTAGGATTCGGAACGTTAAAGGATATTTTGATGAGGCCATGAATTGAAAGGAAAGAGACCGGATTCTGGGAGGAGGATAATAAGTTTTGAGAGGAGTCAATTAAAAAAAAAATCAAGCCATGTACTTGAGAATTGAATATGGTGAATAGGTTGAAAAGGAACGATGAATAGGTCCATTCTCTTAATATAAGATCTACGAGGTATGATTTGTTGGGAGAGTTGCAGGATAAATTGGTATTAAAATTGCCTGCTACATTGTTGTATGAAGGAATGTAGGTAAAAAGGGAAGATTCGAAGACAGGATCAAATCAGACATGGGAAAGGCGATATGTGATGACATAGAGAAGGGAAAAGGAATCTGAGGATATTTCTACAAATAAATACTCTAAATGGGAAATGTCGGGAGAGGGAGACTTGTGGAGGATTTTTGCCCTCAGACCTTCATGAACATAAAGACCGACACCCCCACCTGTTCCATCCACCGGGTCATGACGGATGAGGGTGTAGTAAGGGATGGATATAGAGGAGGAAATATTTGGTTTGAGCCAGGTTTACGAAACGGCAAAAATGATGGAGGAAATAATCTTAGAATTCATCAAAGTGGGTCGGAAGGGGTTGGGAGTTAACATAGCACGTTAATAAGATATTAGTCATTTAGGATATGGAAGGATATATATCATTGAAAATTTGAAAAGGAAAGGGACAATCATAAATGAGTGAATTTGAGTTTCCTGGAACCAAGAAAATACAGTAAAACAAAAGGCATTATAGTAAGATTTGACAAAATACAAAACCTTTGCAACTGATAAAATTGAAAGAATGTTAACACTAGAAAAAAAGGAAGTAATAAAATAAGAATAAAGACTTTGTGTAGAGATGTACAAAAATAGGTAGCAGACGTATTAGACTAGCAGGAGTATTTGCCTAGTATACAGTTGATGCTTGATGAGGCTGATTTTCTTGGGACATTCTTTAATAATATGACCAGAAACAAATTTCGTTGCAAGTTGGGTGTAAAATTAGTTCACAAAGTTTACCATAGATACATCATTAGTTTATAATGTACATATCTAGACTAATCCATGCAATTTAAATATATCATAATCATGAAATGTAATTATATGTTTATTAATAAGGTAACTAATTTTTAATCAGAATATTGTTTTGATCATAGATTAATGGAGAAAACAATTCACTGTTTAATCTATATACTTATATACTAACCATGTAATATTCTACTCCGTTTTTCTTCCTATTCTCCCAAAATATCGGTTATATACATAACTGTAAAAACCAAGTTCTGAAGACAATTAAACCAAAGAAAATATTTTTTCTAAAATGAAATTACTGAAGGAAAATTACCAATTTTTGGTTATATCGAATATTAGGATAACACCATTTGTTCCTTTGTAGACATCTAGAAATTCAGCATCAAGAGCGGGAATAAATTCTTCAGAAAGTTTTAAGCCATCTAGTTGTACTCGTTTCTTGCCTTTATCAACAACATCCCAAACTTCAACCTTTACAACGTCATCTGTTGTTTTATAATTCCAGTTAATGCTCGCAACCTACACATTAGTTTTCATACAATATAAATTTTTATATATATATATATATATATATATATATATATATATATATACAATATAAATAAAAAAGCAAAAAAAGAGACTAAGATGGATTTATTGAACAGTACAGCTATTTTAGAAAAATAAAAAAAAAATCACGTGTGATGCGCGCATCACACAACTTTCACTTACCCACTCTCTAACAGTAACTTTCATTTATTTATTTGAATATAATAAATAATTAAGAGCCACAAAATATTTTTAGTCTGACAAGAGTGCCACTGATAGAGAAGGCTACTATATTTATTTATATTCCATTGAGGGCATATTTATTTGTTTAAGTACCGGTATATATATACAAATTTTAATTTTTATATCACTTTAATCTATAGAATTAAATATTAAATAATACCAACGATAGCATTTATGAAAACTGCATATGCTTATGTATATAATATTGTCGGAGTCTGCACTATAAAATAATTTATTGGGCCAGTTTCTGATAATATGTACAATTTGAGATGAAATTTAATAATTTTGAAGATTGTATGCTTCTTTGAAAATAAAAAAATTTACTTAACTTCTTGCACTGAGGGTTCAGTGAATTGTAAAAACGAAAAAAGACTAGAAAATACTGCACAAAAGCTATAACTTCAAGTGTAAATAAATAAAATTCACATTAAATTTCACAAATTTATTTTCTTCATAAAATTATATGACATATTTACAAACTTATTCTACATATTCACAAACAAATTTTACATGAAAAAACAAAATAAATATATTTTTTTTTTTATAGTTTATTGTAATATAATTCCATAAAAGTGTATTTTATGACCAATTCCCAAAAGGAAGAAATGATCTGTTAAAATAAGGAGGAGTAGGGGCTAATTTTATTATTTTTCTTTTGTTAATTGGTTTATATTATAAAACCTGAAAAAAAAAACTGTACCACTACAACCCATGAAGGATCTGGGGTTCAGGACTATTTAGGGAAAGCACTGTTTCTAGGTCAACCGTTGTACAAGGAGGTGATTGGTTTATATTATAACCTTTAAAAATGATTATAATGCAAACAATTAAATTAAATAAAAAATAAAATTAGCCCATACTCCACTACAATTTATTTGGAGAACCGGAAAGTAAAGTCGTTTTCTTACATTACGTTTAAACACACAAATTTCAGTTTTTATTTTTAATCATTGAAGGAACCACCCTCAATATCAACAATCTTTTGCTATCTAGTGTGACAATTTTCAATGCAGAATCAATACAAATCAATTAGTTTTTGAGCAAAATATATAGAGATGGCATTTTGGACATCATTCTTATTTGTAAATTTTTTGCCACTTAGAAAGTGTTGAAATGATCCGAACAAATGGAAATGCGAAGGGGCAACATCGAGCGAGTATGGTGGATAAGGCAGTACCTCCCACCCCAATTCATTAATTTTTTTCAGGGTTCATCTTATGCAGAGCGATCTTGCATTTTAGTGTTGCAGAATAATGCCTTTTCTGTTGAATCGCTGGCTAATTTTCAATTAAAGATTGATTTATACGATCCAATTGTTTACAATTAAGGTCTGCATTCACAGTTTGTCAAGATTTCAGCTCTTCAAAATGAGCAATGTCGGGAATACTCCACCAAACACACAAAAGGGCTTTTTAGACTTGGCCTCAAAATAAATTTTCAAGGTTATTTCTTATTTAATTATATTGAACAGAGCAACATAAAATAAACAATTAATAATCGACATAGAAATCACAAAAACAAAGTTATAATGAAATAAATCAGATGAAAAATATAAAAAATTCCATCTTACTGCTCTAGAATAGCAACATAAATTAAAATTTGCGTTTCCTCAAATCAAGCCTTTTTTTTTTTACATTAAATCTTTTTTCTCACTTCTTCCATAACTTTCTTTTTTCCCCCCTCTAACTCTCGCAATAGCAGCTGGTAGGCCTCTGGCTTTCCCAGGCAGCTATTTCTTCTAAACTTCTTTCTTTTGTTCTTATAATACCTCCTTGCATTTTCCATGAGAATTTTTGGCAAAGAAAATCATTATTTTTGCGATGGGCACGTTTTCTACCCCTCCGTAAGATTGTATAGCATCATATATAGCTCAAGCTGACAATAATTGTTCATGGAAAATCCTCTCTCAGCATTTCCCAGAGACAAAATCAGAACTTGTTTCAGAAGAAATTTGAAAAACTTAGTATCATCCTGCGAAAGGTTTTTGAACATATCCATCCAGAAATTATCTGATCTATTCATCTTTTTTTTGGCCTTCTAATGTTATTTCCACTCTATGAAAGTACTTCATTTTCTCTACAGTAATTTAATTAGTACATACTTTCTTGAACATCCTCTGAGCTATAAAAGAAAGAAAAAATGAAGGATTGAAAGAATTCGAAACTTTTTTTTTTTTTAAATCATAGCAATTTGTTCCAACAGATAAACAGCAGCTGAAAACTTTTTAGACCTAAATCTAAAGCATGCAAGGCAGAGGATGGGACACTTGTCACAGATAGGCAAGAAGACTGTTTGGAGGAATCACTTCAAAACATTATTAAACCAAGGAGAAAGTATTAGTAACCCTCGAATATCTATTGAGGATAAATTCATGGAAGGAGTTCACTTGAACCTCCAAGATAAGGAAGAGGCACTACAGAACCTTAAGAACAATAAGTCTCCTGGTATAGATGAAATACCTGCGGAACTACTGAACCATGGAGGTCCAGAGATTGTTTTGTTCCTCTGAGATCTACATGATATCTGGATAGAAGAAAGAATCCCACAAGAATGGAAAAAACTAGGTCATCTGTCCAACATACAAAACTATCATGGAATTACCCTCTTACTATGTGCTTATAAAGTTTTCTTCATAATCCTCTTTAATAGAATAGTTCCATATGTTGAAAGAGAAATAGGTAACTAACACTGTGCCTTTCGCAGGGGTAGATCGACTACTAATCAGATACATCCTTCGGATACTTCTAGACTCTATAAATTGACAAGAAATATATCAAGCTATGGCTGAAATGAATTTTTCTCCCATGCTAGTACACCTCATGAGGATAATGATGGAAGACACTTTCTTCATAAAGATATTTGGAGAAATGTCCGGTGAATTTTCTGCAGGCATAGAGGTATGCCAAGAAAATGGGCTTGTCTGTTTTTTAACCTGGGATTTGAAAAGGCCATTAAAGATTCTAGGATTCAAACAACAACAACCGTAACTTGAATAAATCACCTCGTACTTCTCGGATATGTTGATGACATTGATATCACAGGAAGATCATTAGAGGCTGTTAAGGATGGATTTATAGCACTGAAGAATGGGATTACTGATGAACTTCAGTAAAACCAAGTGCCTTAATGCAAATCCCAAATTGTCTAATCAGATAGAAAATGACTAGTGAACGAAATGAATGATTCTACGAAATTGTAGTTTACGAAAATCGAAAAGAGAATAATAGCTGCAAACAGGTGATATTTCGTACTCCAGAAACATCTCCAGTCACCTTATATTAGGCATGGGTTGATACAAGAATTTTTGTATCTAGATACAATTGATATTGTTACTTTTTTATATCTGATACAAATGGATCAGTAGTTTGTCATTACCTTCCTATTACTTTTGTCTGAAGCAGTATTTATGCAAATCTGTGTGACCACTTTCTTACAATAATCCTTCCTTCTATAACCTTACAATAATCCTAATAAACATTTCTAGAAAAGTTAATCCACTATCATTATTTTGTTATCTATTACAATTTTGTTGATTTTTAACATGAATGCATTTTTAATTTACTTACTATTTTATATTTGTTTATTTATATTTTTAGTTGCACACAATTTCTTTAGAACTATCTATTCATTTATTTTAATTTAGTTAAATGTTTATTTGTAGATAAGTATATTCACCCTCTTTTCATTTTTTTGTGTAATATTTATTAATATAAACTTTCTTTAAAATTGACAATTAATTTGTTTTAGTTCAGATTTTATGACTTATTTGTACATAATACTTTTCAATAAATTTACTATTTTATAATTATACTATAATTGATTAAATACATTTTCAAATCTACTATTTTAGTACAGTTGTGTTATACTTCTTTTTTAATTTTAACTCGTAATGTTCATTAATAATAATATTTGTTGAAAATCTTCATTTCCGAATTAATAAGTACATCTAAAAAGGTATTTTTTACTTCTAAACTAATTAAGTAGTTTTAATTAAATTTCATTGGTGAATATTTAGAGTATTAGAGTACTGAGTATGTAGAATATTTAGGAGAATATATTGATTTATTGGTTTTATGAGGTAAGAATAAATTAATTTTCCAGTTGATTGTTTTAATGGAATTGGAAATAAGGCTGACAAACATTATAGCTATTTGAAAACCGAGAGAAATGATTGAATGTAAAGAAAAGAGAAATATTTCAATAGGTAAAATATGAAAGAGTTCTAGTATCTAGAGTGACATTAGTTTAGCAGAACAAGGCAAGCATCAACAAGAAGGGTGGGGGACGGATAAAAGTACCCATGCCGCTTGTACTTTATACATGGGGTTAGATACTTTTATTTGATACTTGGACTTAACAAACTGACAGATATTTTTCTGATACTTGCATCACTTTAATCTGCCCCCACACTTCTCTTTGACACTGGCCTTGCCCCACAAAACTGACATCACTCTAGAGCAGCTTTCGCATTTTATCTATTGAAATATTTCTCATTCTGTCATTTCCCTTGGTTTTTAAATAGTATAATGTTTGTCTATTTTTTTTCCAACTCCATTAAAACAATAAACTGGAAAATCTAATTTATTCCATACCAAAATAAAACCAATTAATACTTATATTCACCTCAATACTCTACATACTCAGTACTCTAACTACTCACCAAAATATTCAATTTGAATATTGAATATTTTTAATTTTAATTAAAGCTACATAATTGGTATAGAAGTAAAATTTTGGATGTACATATTAGTTTGGAAATGAAGATATTCTTCAAATATTATTATGAATAAACATTATGAGTTAAAAGTAAAGGGAAGTATAACAAAACTAAACAAAAATAGTAGATGTGAAAATTTATTTAATCAATTGAATTTTAAGTATAAAATAGTAATTAAAATTTATTAAAAAAGTACTATGTACAAATAAGTCATAAAATCTGAACTAAAATAAATGAATTGTCAATTATAGATAAAGTTTATACCAATACAGATTGCATTAAAAAAAAAAAGCTTGCAAACATTTACCTACAATTAAACATTTAACTAAATTAAAATAAATGAATAGTTTTAAAGAAATTGTGTACAGCTAAAAATATAACTAAACAAACATAACATTCCTCTTCTATCTATCTGGAAAGTATGTACAATATCATTTGTATCCATGTATCAGTATCAGATACTTTTGGGATGTCTTTACTGCTTGTATCAGCTACTTTTTAGTATTGGATATAATAGAAGTATCTGATACATACAATCTTACCCATCCCTACCTTATATGGAAACCCTCAAAACTTCGGATGTATAAAGCTCGTATCTGACCTGTACTGACCTATTCCTCTGAAACATGGACCCTCACAACATACAAGGAGGTTGATATAGTGCAACACATCAAACTAGGAAGGTTACACTGGGCCAGACATAATGTGAGGATGGGAGTGGAAGAGGTTCCTACCAAAGTGTCCCAGGAACAAATGTTTGGAGTTAGTCGCTAAGGCAGACCACAACTTTTCTAGGAGGAATGAGTAGCTTTAGATGCCCTATATCTTTAGATACTTGATATAAGTAATTGGAAGGCAGCAGCACTCAATAGAGAAAAACTGACAGTCGATATTGAAGAAGGCCAGGACTAAACATTATGGGTCGTCGAGTCAATAGATACAGCACATAAATAAGATATAGCAACTCATCCTGTACTATTTATGGCAGTCTTTAATGTATAATATAATGCATGTAATCCACAACTTCCTCGCTGTATCATTTTTGAGATCTTCAGAGAAGTAGGTTTGCTTTTGCAGATCTCTCAAAAACATTTATTTATCTTTGGACCACATCCATAGATATCCGAAGAACTTTCTTTAGAACTATAGAATTTTTAGTTGCTAAGAAATAGTTCAATAAATCAGGGACAGTTGACTTGTTTAAAAATGCCGAGATTTTAAAAATGTCTAGTTGTCTAGTTCATCAGAAGTAATGTTTCAGTCAAAAAATACAAAATTATTTGCTGGCTTAGGCTAATTTTGTTAAGTGATTGATCAAATGATGTTACACAATTGTGAACTTCTTTCCACATGTATTAGTAACTTGTTTTTAAAGTAAAGAGCTAAACAAAAGGTTGATAAATTGTTTATCTAAGTTCTCTGTGGCTGCATTTGTTGAAGTCGTCCGATTTCTGGAAACATATATTGCTTATTCTGAGCTTTTTCTTTCATGATATATTTTTGTTTACTTCTTATGCTTTATAAGTGCCTGGCGACTCATTGTGGCCACATATATAAACTTATTAGAGCATGATTTGAAGATAGCTGCATAATTATCAATAGAGATTCTATCTATCCAGCATAGTATTTCTGAATCCAACAGCTAAGTCTTGGAATCTGGTTCTTCCATGTTTCCCCATCCCTGAGAGTATTAAAAGTTAAACTACACCAAGAATCACTATATGAGTGTTTATTAACACTCATAAAATGAATAAATTTATAATTAGGTAAGTATTAGGATAAATCACAATGTTCTATGGCCGATGAGACAAATTGCAAATTCAGAAGGAATATGTCATAGTTTTTCAATTTTAGATATTTCAATGTCCCAACTGGATTAAATAAATGAAGCTCATTGTTTCACCTTTAACTCCAACTGCTATTTCCCTACTAATTCTCTAATAGTTAACGTTTTAATCAGATTTTTTGAGATCAAGAAAGGTACTGGCATATCTGGCCGATCTATTCTAGCACTGTCTTTGACTTATTGGCCAGCTTTTTCATGGTCTGATGACTCACAGTGTGCCGAAACCCACTGTCCTTCTAAAATCAGTTCCTCAAAAATTCCTGACACATATTAATTTGATTTGTGAGGCAGCAGGAAGCATCAGAAATGGCAATTACTACAGCCTCGTCAGTTAGGATAACAACTTTTTGCAATTTGCTGCTTTTTTAAACAGTTCAAAGGCCAAAAAAATGCTTTGATTTCACTACCAAAATTATTTGCTAGCTTCCCCACTGGTTCTGATAATTGGAAAGTTTCTGCATAAACACCAGCCCCTCCATATTTTCTTGGACTATTTGCAGAACCATCTGAACACGTGTAACCATGGGGAAGAAGAGTACCTCTTTCTTATAATTTAAAGTGCCAAATTATTTAGTTTTATCTTAGATCAACTTAGCTTCTTAATTGGCTGCAGGGGCTGTAGGTTGATTTCTGGTGATTTTGTAAGAATCCTTGGTATGACCATCTCAAAATTTTCTCAAGAAGAAATATCTATCCTATATATCCTTTAATTTATAAAAAATATCCTTTAATTTTTCTAATTGTATCTATCTTATTCATCAATGTGACTTGGATTTGTGGCATGTAGTAGGTTTACATTTATTCTAGCAGTCAGCATCCTAACTCTGCAGTTTCTCACTCATTGTAAACACGGCAATCTCATTTCACATTTTAGATTTTATACATGTTTGAAGATCCAATAGAAATTGATTTGGGAGCACCAGTAAGTTATGAGGGCCTTATTTTGTACTTTTTCATTTTTAAGGTGTTGTAATAAGCAGCTCACTTTTGTATTTGAGAATGGGTCTCACACAACTTTTATATGCTATTGACAGTAACCCATTAAACTTTTTTGGGTAATAAACATGAAATAACCTAGTTAAACTATTTTTCCTCATTAAATTGGTAATACTTGTAATTCAGAAAAGATTTATAGGAATAAAATATCAACAATGCTAAAAAATATATACCTGAATTTCTTCAGTAGGTATATAGTCCTGTACAAACTTTTTACCCTGTAAACGGTGAAAAAGGCAAGTCTTTCCAGTATTCCTATCACCTTTAATTATTATTTTCACTGAAATATTGAAAAGAATACATTAAAATTAAAAATGTAAAAAAAAAAAATTGTTACTAGCATCCATTAAAACTCTCAAATACGAATTTTTATAGAGATGAAACAAATTTTGCACTTGAGAACTCATTTATGATTAAAGAGCCTGTCAGGCTTTCTCTTTAAATGAATGAGTGATCAGTGATGAATTTTATATTTAAACTACCTCATGGCCTCTTTCTATAAATTGTATAAAAAGTAGATAAAAAATAAATAAAAAAGTTTTGAACGATGCCCTTAATAAAATGGCAAAAGTGGCGAGTAGAGGTCAAGAAAAGTACTCTGTCACATGGGAATGGAGAACTGTCAGACAATGACATCCTCAAGGCCACTGCCTCCCTCCTCGCTCATCGTCGCTAAAGGGTTAAACCATAAAATTTAAAGTTATTTATATATTTTAGAAGAGCAATAATTAAGGTTTTCAGTGGTTGTAATGACGTTGAATTAGGAGAAAATCCAGACGAATTAAGATTGTTTTAGAAGATGGCTAAAAAAAAAAAAAAAAAATCCTCCAATAAAATCAAGTTAAAAATTTATATTTTTTTATTTCAATAAAAATTTATATTGAAGAGTTTTAAAGGATACTAGAAACGAATCTGAATAGCTTTTTCATGACAAAAATTTACTTGCCTACTTTATTGGACGTGTCTTTTTGTTTTTGTAATTTATTATACATTTGAATTAATTTATCACAATCAACAGCATGTTTTCTTATTTAAAAAAACAAAAACAAGTCGATTCATATATTATAAACTAGAAATTCATGCAGAAGAAAGACAGAAAACAATAATATAAAAAAAGTTAAAATTTTATCAGATTTTTTTTGGCTCTTATTATGGTGCATTGGCAAGAATACTTGGACATGGATCTAACATTTTTTGACCTAGTACCACCAAAATTTTTTTATAGAAATTGGTGAGCCCCCCCCTTCCGTTAGTAAACTTCCGTTGTAATATAATACCTTCCCTTTTATAAATTGTTTTTCCAGCTCTTGTGGTGCATTGGCAAAAACTTATGAACAAGGTTCTAACATTTTTTAATCTAGTACCATCAAAACAATTGGTGGCCCCATATCCGTAACCTTCCCTTGCGGGAAGTACTGCATACTTTAAAAATAATTAAGACAATTTCAAATATACATGTAAATAAATTAAAAATAAGAACTAACTTAATGGTACTACAGCCCTAGTTGGACTTGGGCCTCACTTAGAACTGATAGCCATTCCTGCCTTCCGCCTTCTATCACCATCCTCTAACTCCCATCCATCGCAAATCTTCTTGTCAATCTCTTTCTGTCTGGCCTGCCATTCATAAACTTCTTTTGTAGCCTCTCATTTGACAACCTTTGAACATGGCCCAGCCACCACAGCATTCCTTCTTTGATGATGGCCATAATATTAGGCTCACCAAAGAGCTGTTCGAACTCTACTTTTTCTTATTTTCAAATGTCCATCTTTGTTTACCGGCCCAAATATCTTTTGGAGCACTTGCTTCCATGTCACCATTAGTCGTATTATTGTCTTGTATATGGTGATTTTTGCTGATCGAGACAATGATTCGAATCTAAGCACCTTATTAAGTGAAAAAAGGCTTCTGCTACCACTACCAGTTGCTATAATGGCTTTGATCTCTACACTTATATCATTTTCTTATGTAATTAGAGCTCATAGATATTTGAAGCTCTTGTAACACTTGAGTTTGTGCCCATTAATTATCGCTTCTTCTTTTCAACCTGTTTGAGTTCTATATGTCCTCATATACTATGCCTTAGTTTCATTAATTTCAAGCCTTTGCTAGCTGCTTCAAATAGCTCCTGAAAGGAGGGCTGGTAATGTGCACACTGCGATGGCTATATTGTCAGCATATGTCATGAGCTAGGGAAGCATGTTATAAATATTTTCTCCAGGGCTGGTTCTAATTACTCTAATTGCCTTTTCAAGGGCCAGATTGAATACTACAGTTGACAATGGGTCACCTTTTCTCAGTCTGCATATCACATTAAACTCTCCTGATAGGGCTTCATCAACTCAAACTTGAGACTTTATTTCCTTCCACGTCATTACAATTAACCTCACTAGCTATGGTGGGACACCTAGGGACTCTGATATTCCTTTTTCATATTCATTGTCATATGTGTCATTTCTTCTTTTCTGCTGTTTCCCACCAAGGACCACAGGTGTTACAGTCTTTAAATGCACACCTTTTCTCAATTGAATTTTCTTTCTCCTCGCACTCTTTGGTATGAAACTACTTTTATTGTATACCTAGCCTCAGCTAGAAAATGATCTGACTCATAGCAAGCACCTCTGAAACTGAGAACATTTTGAAATGTCTGTCGTGTGGCTACTATCCACCAACACATGGTCAATCTGATTCTCAGTCCTTCTATCTGGAGATACCCAGGTCTCCTTGTGGATATTCTTGTGAGTGAAAAAGGTATCACTCACCCTCATTCCTTAGGTTGCCAAATAGTCTATCAAGCATATCCTATTAATACTGGAGATATTGTTCTTCCTACATCCTCCTATAACTGGATGAAATGCATTCTCCTTCACTATTTTCACTTTCTAGTCTTCTAAAACAAGCTTCATATCATATCTTGGGATTCCATCCACTTTCCTCTCTAGATTACCGTGAAATTTATCTTTCTCTTCTTCTATTTCCAAGCTTAGGTGTTAACCTTGAAACAGTCTGGCTGTTTATTCTTTTGTATTCTTAACAATGTGCCTTTTATGAGGCTGGATTGTCAGCCCAGCGCTCAACACCCAAGCAGAAGGACCAGGATTTTTCATTGGGATTTACTCCCTTAGTCTCTGAACTTTCGTTCTAGCGCATAAATTGATGGGGGATTAGAAAATTCAGGAATGCAGGAAAAGGACAAGAATGACCTTTGAAGGGATGTGAAGGCGTGTGTGTCCCATTTAGCTGCCTTTCACAAGTGGTAAATACTGTGGGTCTACTCTACCACTGAACCCTCAGGGGGTTAAAAATAGAAAAGTTTTAGATGATAAGAAATTCAAGAATCACACAAAAAATTGAAAATGTATGATGATCAGAATAAATTAATCGTGGGTGCGGTAAAAAACATTATATTATATAAGAGTATGTTTTATTACATTGTCCAACATTTTTTTAACCTATGTTGTAGGTCTTCTTCAGGGCTATATAAGATACAAACAATATATATTAGTTATCCAATTATATATAAACAATATATATTAATTATAGAAAGTTGCAGTATATGTATATGTATTTTAGTAGTACATGTATATGTAGTATAGAAGTTACAGTATATGTAGAGTATTGACATTCAGTTCTAATTGGAAAGGTAATGGATTATTAAGAATTCTGGAGTATATTAAGGGTAATAGGTAGTAGGTATATTAAGGAAAATAATAGTAATAATAAGAGACAAAAAACATACCATTCAGTCTGGCACTATTGAAGTTAGTAAGGCGATTGGCTGTCTTGTATTGGTCAAGTAACAGAAAACTGACAGGTAGAAAGGGACCAGGAGGTTTTAAAAGTAGTTGTTTGTCTGTTTGCGAAAAAAATGTAAGTAGATGAGATAAGAAAAGGCTATCATACCTAAAGTTATCGAAGTGGTAGTTGTGTGTATGGGCCTAAGTAATTGGTTAAATTATTTTATTTTTTTTATTATTATTTATATATTTACAACTGTATAAAAAAAAAAAATACATCTAGTAAATTTGTACATGGATATAATGACATGAAGCACATGTTGAGAAACTACCCATTGGTAGCACTCTAATAATATGTCTATATTAGGAGAATAGGCCCATCTTATTTTCAGACGCCTTGGAGGGTTATCAGGAATTGAATAGGAAGCAAGGTTAGAAACAAGAGGGTTGGGATGGTTATGAAGTTTATTATGGAAGGATAGATATCTGGATTGGGCCAAATTTGAAACATAAGGAACATTAAGGTCATTGTGAATGATTTTATTTGTAACAAAGTAAGGAGCATTGAGGATTTTACAAAAGATTTTGGATTGTAAGGATTAGATACGAGAGGAATTTGAAGGTTTGGTGGAGAGCCATAGCTCAACTCTGTAAGTCCAAATAGGCCTTAATATAGTCATGTGTATAAATAAGTCTTTTGTAATTAATTGGAAGGTTAGAGCATTTGTTTAGTAAGTGTTGAAGTAGTCGGAAATGTCGAGTGGTTTCTTGTCGTTTTAGTCTGGTACGAGGATTCTAAGCTAGACGTTTGTCCAGGTGTAGTCCTAGGTAACGGATTTGTTCAACAGAAATAAGTGAGGTGTTGCTACAGGATACTGAAGGACAGAAAGTCATTGGTTTACGACGAGGGGTAAACGTAATTTGATGGGATTTATTTTAATTCTCCAGTTTTAACACCATTCTTCAAGGTTTGTGATATGTGATTGAAGGGTTTGGGATGCAATTGATAGGTCATTATTAACTGATAAGATACATGTGTCATCGGCATATATGTTGATGACAGTGTTGGGATGTCAGCTGTATAGATTGTGTAAAGGATGGGGCCTAGGATATTACCTTGAGGAATGCCAGCAGACTGGGAAAAGCGGGATGTATAGACATTGTTGTGATTTACTTTTAAAGTATCTATCAGTAAAGTAGAAACGGATAATGAGGAAGTATGTAGATGGTAGGAATTTTCGGAGTCTGTACAGCAGTCCTGGGTGCCAAACTCTATCAAACGCCTGTTCAACATCGAGAAAGACTCCTGTACAGTACAGTCCGCCTCCAATGCAGAGGATACTACGTCTACCACACGATGACAAATAGTATCCACTATCCGAAAATTGCTATATAGCCTGTTGGTCATTCATTGAGGTTATTGAGGAGCCAAGGTATTTGAATTTTTCTACTCTCAGGAATGATTTTTCCTTCTACACAGATTCTGTTATTGGGATGGAAATTTCGGTTTATTATCATATATTCTATTTTGTCTTCATTTAC